GCCAGACCTTATCGAATGCCTGAGCTACATCTAGATAAATAGCTAAGCAGTACTCTCTGTGCTCGAATGATTTCTTGATTTCGTTCGTAATTCTATTTAATTGCTCTACAGTGCCATGTTTACCACGAAAACCGAATTAGTGCTTTGGTATTATATTATTTTCATGGAGGAAAGGAATCATTTTTGATAGTAACACTTTTTCAAATATTTTTGAAATACAGGGTAAGAGACTCATTGGTCCGTTGGAAGACGGCTGTGTTAAGTCTTTCCCAGGTTTATTTATCAGGATGACCTGCGACTTTTTCCTCCACGAAGTTGGATAGTATTCCAAACAAAGAATTACATTAAAGAGAAAGGAGAGCACCGTTATAGAAATATTTGGTGACTCAATTAGCATTTTTGGAGTAATATTTTCGTGTCCGCATGCCTTTTTCGGATTTAATTATTTTATGATTTTACTTACTTCAGAAGTAGAACTTCTAATAGACACAAGCGACTCGCTGGCAGTATTGGGCAAAGTTGGCAACTTAAAATTGTTCTTTGGGTAGTTAGGCTGAAATAGATTTTTAAGTAATTTGCAAAGCAATTTGTCTTTTCCTTATCACTGCGTGCCCAATTATCATTCAACTGTCATTAGAGGCATGTTGCAATCTACTGGTGGCTTAAAAGACTTTTGGGCTTTCCAAAGAGAGTTCTGCTTGCTAGAATTTGGACACAGTTTCTTTATATAATTTTCAGTGTTGCGTTCTTCCTCGCGTTTCAGCGCTTTTTTTAACTTACGTACAGCAGATTTTAGTTGAAGCAGAGTTGAAAGGGAGCGACTTAACTGCCATTCACGTCTAACTCTCCTTTTCTCATTTACAATTTTTTCTATTTCATAATTAGTGAAATTTCTAAAACCAACTCGTTTATTGTTTCTTTTTGGTTTTGCCAATACAGTTGCATTAGTTATTACAAGATGAAATTCTCTTATACTTTCATTAATGTCTCTTTCTCTATTTTGTTGCAATCAATATTGATGTGGCTGCTGATGTATTTTCTATACTTAAACAAGTTAGTTTTATGAGATGTTAGAGCAATTTTTGGCTTAAATATTATGGGCTGTTCGTATTACTTTATTAAAACAAGAATGATCAGATGATAAATCTGTAAATGTGTTAGCTGTCAGAAGCCTTTGACTACAGCAAATTCTATTAAGTCAGGTATTTTTTCTTTTCTATCACTGTGCCTGTATGTCGGCTTAGTAAAAGGTGGTTATATTTTTGAGTTTATAAAAAATGGACCGAAAACCATTTCGTGTCGGATCCGGTTACGTTCAGAGCCGGATTTTCATACGGCCAAGGACTGTAAACTCCTCAGAACTCTGCCACTACAACAATAATTCTGTGTAAAGTGGGTGCTGCGCAAGTTCATAATGCCACACCACGAATTACTGATTTTGAGGAGTGTTTGAGTGCTCTTTAATAGTAATAAAACCGAATTTTTGCATCGATGTGTGACAATCAAAACATGACTCCATACCTTCAGACCGGAGTCCAATCGGCAGTCGGCCTAGTGGACTGCCCATGAGGAACCGGTCCTGTAGCGTGGAAAGACGTGATTTGAAATATAATTCTGATGTTAACGAATTATATTGACTTTTAAAACACAAAAATAAAAAGTATCCTATGTCCATCCCCTGATTGTAAGCTATCGTCCACCAACTTTCAGCCAAAACGGTTCAGCTGTTCTAGAGTTATAAATAGTGTAACTGACACGACTTTCTTATATATAGATTATATATTATATTACCTACATATTTAATTTATTTAAAACAATTATATATTAAACAGACTCGTTTGCTGTTTAATAATACATACATACTATATATCTCCAGATTCCCTTTATTTTTAATTAAATTTTTAAAATCTAATTTCAATCTGAATTAAAGGATTCCATGAGTTTACGGGTTTCAAAAAATCGATTTTTCTTTGTATTCGCTTATTAAATTTTACAACGCCTCTAGAATATTGCCCTAAATTTTAAAGTTGATTCGATCAATATTTTCGATTTCAAAGGTCAGCTAGGCTTAGTGCGGCGTCTTTGGGCGAGTTTTTCTCGAAAGTGTGGTTTTGAAGTCGGTTGGCAATATTTCTCGAGAACTACTCAACCGATCTTTGAGCTACAATTCTTAAAGCCTTGGACGAAGGATTTTTTAGATTTCAACTGTTAAAAAAAAAAAAATAAAAAAATCTGTGTCAAAAATACAATTTCCAGTTTTTTTCCTTCGTCCAAATTCTAAGGTTTTAACTAAAATAAGTATTTTTCCACTTTAGATGATCCTGTAAGGAGATGTCCTGCAACGCGGGCATCTTTGTTAATAGGGTAAGTTTATAATATTAAAAAATTCTAATAAAATATTTAATTTTTTAATATGAGAGAACAATTGTAATTAAGCTGTTTTTCCTTTCTAAGGCAGCGGCCGGAGTGTACCGCTCCGCAGCCCACAGAGTTGCATCAGCCTACCTAACAGTATGAGGCGACATGTCGTAAATTCGGAGAAGTAGACTTTCACACAACTAAGCTGTTATCGGATACTTCAAAAAGTACGTCTACAGAATGGGAAAAGTCGAAGAACCGTCATTCCTATACAACGACGCGACAGAAGACGACGCTGAACGCTGACGCAAGAAGAGCTGGTCGGCCCAATAAACCCAATAAACGCTAATAATTTAATCAGCGATATGTGGAAGAACGAAGCAAACTGGGGGATTATCCAGAAATACACAGCACTCTTGCTACGCATGAAAAAGCGGGACCTGGACGCAGGTGTGCAGATGTAAATCTCTCAATGAGAAAAATGGAACGCTACCCTGAAGTAATGCAAACGTGGTCGCAGGGTGGGCGACGGTTCGTTAGAGGGCAGTTTTTAGTCACCTGCAAGTGGCACATACCGCTGCTGTGACGATAGCACCAATGGTGCGGAAGGCATTTTCCACCCCCTCACATGCAAAAAATAAAAAATAAAAATACTGCAAACTATTTTTAGCTCATTTTCACTATTGTGAGCGGTTCAATTGAAAATGAAAATATATTTTTATTTTTTATTGTGTTTTTAAAACAAAAGACTGAAATTCAATTAGTATAATTCGTATAAAATCAAAATAAATAGTTAAAAACTCACAGAAAAATTACTTAGAAGAGCATCATAGTTTGCTTATGGGCATGGCACCGGCCAATTTCAGTTGAAATCCTACATCTAAGGAGTTATAAGTACTCTGCCAATTACAGTCATATGGTGGATAACATTACTGCGACATTCTTATGTTATTTTATGAAAGTGGGCCCAATCCGAAAACAACCACGTCTACTCTATATATCACAGTACGAAATTCATTCTAACTCTTTTACTTTAAAGTATTTCGATATATGTATGGTGTAAAATAATTACGTGTTACTATTTCTCCGTGATAATATCATAATCTAATGAACCGATTTTAGTCAAATTTAGCACAACTTAAAATGTAGGATGGTTTATATATCAATTATATTAAAAGTATAATAATTCATAATTAAAAAAAGTATATTTCTTAGACATAATGATGTTTTCAAAACTCCCAATAAAATTAAAATTTTAAGTAAAAATCATAAGCATTATTACTTTTTACCTTGTTAATATGACAATGATTTATTATTATATGACAAATTTTATTTATTTTGAGAAAAAATTAGTTTAATATTACCATGTATGTATTTTTCGTTGGTGTTAAATTTGCTTAAGTACATATGTACATGGTTACTCGGATAAAGAAGAAGAAACGTATATGCTGATCTCATTTTTTTCAATTGATGATGACCGCTGAGGAGCATAGTTTTAAATTATAAGATTACAAGCAAATATTCTTATGAAATATAGTAGTTCACAATAGGAAAAATTATGTTGAATTTTTGAAGAACAAAATACCGAAAATGTTTCTGTGCCGGGAACAGATTTCGACCTGCCTTAAATGGGAAACAGAGGAATTGTTGTACCACTAAGGAAGGTTAAATTAAAGTATTTTGGTTCTATTCGTGATACGCATCAGTTCTGTTTTACTGGGGTTAACACCTACTTCGTAGCTTTAAAGGCTCTTTCCATAATATCACTGATTGTGAAGGTAAACATCGCTGCTATCGTGTCGTCCGCATATACATACCGGTTAATATTTAAGATACCTTAGAAAACTTAGTTTACGTACTACATATACTTCAATACAGAAAATATCTAAAATCTTTTCACAAATCACCCTAGGTCTAATATATCTACATATGTGTATTCTTGCAGATTTACGCCGAATATGTCGGTCAGTGTGTGAGTTATCTTCATAAAACTACGTGAAAACATGTTCTAGAGTATATTTCCGGAGTTTGATGAATAGCCAGAAGTTATAAGGACCTAAATGCGGCGAATACAGTTGCTGCGGCATCCGGTTGAAACTTTGTCAAAAAACTCACGAGGAATCATTGCAGTATGCAACGGTGGATTATAGGGGGGTAAAACCCAAGCGTTGTCGGCCTATAACTCCGGCCCCTTTTTACGAATAGCAAAATGTAAATAAAAATAAAATAACATGGAAGTATTTTCCGAACTTTGATGTTTGCAAATTGCGAGGGTATAAAATTTTCCGCAACGCCTGAACATTTTCCTTTTTTACGTTTTAAATACAAAGTTTTGTTAAACCCCGAAAGAATGCCCCAGCCTCTAATTTTCGATAATGGAGATTCGGTTATTTGTTTTTCTGTCCTTAATTAGTCCGATAACAAATACACCTTGATATTTCAATCATGTAATATAACCTTTGTAAACTTGTTGCCCCTTGATTTGTATTTTAAAGCATCCTCTGTATCATTTCAATTCTGAATGATGAGCCGAGGTGAGAATTCAGGCTTACTTTACTTTCGTTAAATAGCCATTCTTTCGAACTTGATAAATTTTAAAGAGAATCAAGGCGAGCATCACAAAACATAATGTTTATTCTTACCTGTTAATTGATGACACGCTGGGTACATTATCCTGCGAGCATATACTTTCCGCTAAAAGTCTATCTCGTATTTCCCAAGCGAACATCGTTGGATTTTCACGTTTATAATTAGCAATAGCATCAACAACTGGTGGAGTGGCTACTTTAGGTTTGGAACCCCCTATAACTCCGGCTTTAAAGCTTCCAGTCTCATAATACCTTAAAATAAAAAGCCGAGATACAATAATTAGCGAATATCATGAGTAAATAATTATATATAAAATTTGAAAACAAAATTTGAGTTGAAAAACTATACGTCATCGATTTTTCAAAGCAAATCCTATAATAAACATTTATATTAATATGATAACATGCATTTACACATTTGTATACTCTTGCAACCAGTTGCTATAGAGTACGAGGACCTGCTATATATATTTCTGGCCTAATAATGAAAATAGGAATATTTATTAACGAAAATGGTTTTATCGTTTTTCAAAATATTCTTCATCAAGATTTATACACTTCTGCATGCGCTCAAACCAATTTTCGAAGCACTTTTTCCACTCCGATTGAGGCACCTCCAAAACATGGTTTTTGAATGCTTCAACAGCATCTTCTGCCGACGAAAATCGTTGACCACGCATTATTTTCTTGGTGTGTGGGAATAAAAAGAAGTCATTGGGTGCCAAGTCAGGGCTGTACGGCGGATGACCCATCAATTCGACGTTTTGGCCGGTCACAAAGGTGCTGCTTTGAGCCGATGTGTGAGAGCTCGCATTGTCATGGTGCACAATGATTCGTCTTCTCTTGTTCGTTTTTCGAATTTCTCCGAAGACTTCAGGCAAACAAATGGTGGTGTACCACACAGAATTGACCGTCCTACGTTGCTCAAGCGGAACAGTCACCACATGCCCAGTTTTGTCGGAGGAACAGGCGACCATTTGCTTCGAAGTGCTTCTTCCACGAACAAATTTCGTTGGATTTGGCTCGTCTTAGAAGACCCACACGGTCGATTGCTGATTTGTTTCGGGCTCATACGCATAGATCCATGACGATCTTATAAACGTCTTTTGAAGCACCGCGATCGTATTTGTTCAGCATTTTTTTTTACACCAATCCACACGAGCATTTTTTTGAGCGATTGTCAAATTGTGCGGGATCCAATAAGAAAAAACCTTTTTTACGGCCAGGAGTTCATGCAATATCGAATGTATGCTGGTGGGAGAAATGCATAGGCATGCCTCTATTTGAAGGTCTTGCATTATCAGTTCACGTACGGCATCGATTTTTTCTGGCAAAACGGCTATTTTTGGACGATCTTCACGGAATTCCTCTTTGAGCGAGCGTCGGACACGATTGAATTCGTTGCACCAGTTTTTCACAGTGCTATAGGATGGTGCTTCATAGCCATACAAAGATTTTAGTTCATCAATGCACTCTTGTCCTGATAATCCACGTCGACAGTTATGAAAACTGATCTCACGAAAATGTTCACGAGTTAATTCCACTTTTTGGCCGAGATGAATTTTTAATTCTCTGTAAATAAAACAATTCACGATTAAATGACAAAACGTTCTGAGTGATGTTATACTAAAAAATGTCAAACTTTCCAATGGAAATGTCAGATTGCACCTGGCAACACTTAGTGTTGCCTAGGCCAGAAATATATATAGCAGCCTCCGTATTATAGTTTTGTTCTCCTAATGGTTGTACGTAACACCTAAAACTAATCGAGGCAAGGTTATATTATATATATATATTATAATATAAATGTTCAAGATGATGAGAAAAATTTAAATCCGGTTGACTGTCTGTCTGTGCAAGCTGTAACTTGAGTAAAAATTGAGATATATGGATGAAACTTGGTATGTAGGTGACATAACTAAGCATTATATTACACTGTGGAACATTTTTGGGATTATTGTCTGGGGGGTGAGAAATTCCATGTCAGGGGATGGTACTAGGTCAATATAGTAAAACCCTCAAAGGGTTTGGCGTTCGTGTGTTTCAGTTTTTTTCAATTTCCGAGAATGCACTTAACATCCTCGCGACAGAAACATCGTAGTTGTTAGAACGATGTTTTCCCAACAAGCCTTCTATTACTTCTTTGATTGCCTGCCATGCATTCAATATATATCAATCAAAATATTGTTGAATGCGGCATTTAGTACGCTTGATTGGAAAAAATTAATTTGTTAAGATAGAAAACCATGGGAAATAAGGAAAAAATTTAAAAGGTCATAAAAAACTGACACATACGAACGCCAAACCCCTTGAGGGTTTTACTATACTGACCAAGTACCATCACCCTGACTTGGAATTTCTCACCCCCCAGATTACCTCTTGTACTGTGTTATGATATAAAGCTTTAAGTTAGTACAGAGGACTGCAGTAGCAAGAGGTTTCTAACAAGTTTAAGCTACAGCAATCAAATGTCCTGAGTACAAATCTTATAAGAACTTCTACTGACAGTATGAAAATGGATGAAATCGGAGGATAACTCTCCCCATATAATAGTACTGTTAAAAACTACTAAAAGCATGATAAATCAAAAACAAAAACGCCACAAACACTAAATTTTACCACTGATATGGTATGGAGAGCTTTATGGGGAAATCTTTTTGGAAAAATTCCGTACCTTGGGATCTACCCAAACCGATTTCGACAAAATTTGTTACGTGCCTAGTTTCTTACGTTTTTATGTCATGTTGTGAAAATGAACGAAATCGGACAACAACCACGTCTACTTCACATATAGCACAATTTTCAATTCCACTTGATTTGTTCAGTTTCCAATACGCAAATGAAGAAACAATTAATATAACGGGATACAACCTTGCGTGAATAATGCCTTTAGTGTGCCACCTTGTGACCAAAAATTGTTCAAGTCCAACTGAAACTATTCAAGAACATAGGTACCGAATCTTCCGACCCCGGATCCTATAGTTGATATTTGATCGCAAATATGGGTCAATGAGTGACATAGATAACTGAAATTAAGGGATAATGCTTCTCTTATAATGGTATGTCTGTACGTCGAATATGAGTTGAATCGGAACAATACTTCCCTTAGCCCACATATACCTAATATAAAAATTTTGGAACTTACGAGTGACTTTGAACCGCATATATCGGTCAATATGTGAGTTATTCCAATGAAAATAAAAGAACGTGTTTAACACATAACTGTGTATCTTTTGTGTTAAAATGGATAAATTTGAGCGAAAACTTGGCTAGCCCTTATATAACTAATATCAGGATTATCGAATATCCGGCTAATTTTATTCTACCATACATGGTTTTACAATTTAAAGTATTTCCTTGGCTTTGATTCTTGCAAGTTGCAAGAGTATAAAACGTTCGGTTGCACCCAAACTTAGCCCCTCCTTACTTGTCATCATAAGATAAATAACTCTTGTGAATTATTTGAAGCTTAACACATTTTAATATTTATAAGTCGACTATGAAATTCTCAATTATAATACTCCTAATAGTAAAACTAGTAAAAGTATTTGAATACAGAAATTACAATCATATGAATATTATTAGATATTTTGTTATAAAAATTCGTATAATGAGAGTACATTCATATTATTCAAGAAGTATTATATATTCTTTATTTTACTGTCCAATTGACTTTACACTCATAACGACCTGATGGAATGGATCGCGAAAAAATATCTATAATATAGAGCGAACATTTTGCTTTGACTTCACAAAATTTTATCGATTGATCTCCAGTAGTTTTTGAGAAAATAATTTTACAATTTTATCGTTCTCCAAATTTCAATCTTCAATAATTTTAACAAAAAAAAAAAACGAATTTTGATGAAATACTAATATCACGGGGTATGCGTCTGGTCCCTTTCCTAATGAACTGCTAATTTTCAAAATCGAAATTTCCATGGTTCACGTGGTTTCACCCAATATAATCAATAATTATATATACGTACATTACAAAGAAGAAAATAAAACTGTTAAATACAAATTTTATAACAAAACCAAATCGTGAGTCGATATGTTAGACTATATTTGAATTAAAATATTTTTTAATTGTTTTTTTGTTTTAATAATAGAACACAACCAGTGATTTCTAATATCCCTTCAAGAGTACCAGAGGTTACCTATAATTTTGTTATAATAAATATATGCGGACGATGAAAAACTTTTTACATAAATATTATTCGATTGATAAAAGTTGTTTTTAGTAACCAGTTTAGAGACCTTTGTTCCGTACACTTGATAAACTTAACATCTTGCAAATTTATTAAGCTTTTCTATTATGTCCAACCTTTATATGCTGATAGTGATTTTTACAAATTAAACGTAAGATAACTAATTTGTTAAAATGGACGATAAATTACCCACATGATAACCAAAAAATTAATAAATATTGCAAAAAGCTTTGGAAGAACACGCCATTTTGAAAAATCCATTGAACAGTTCTTGCCTATTGTGTTATTTTAATGTGGTAATTTACAATTCCTTTTTCCCTTCTTTTGAGATTATCTCCACTTCTGGCACCTTTTATGTGTCAGTTTGCCTTTTTAATGCAAATAAATTAAAGGCTTTTGTAATAGAGAACGACGAAATTTTTTAAAACTCTGTAAAAAACTTTACGACATTTAAACAAAAAAACATACCTAAAATTCCAAAATGAGATCTGCCAGTATTTGGCTTGTATTTCAGTCACTAAAATTATCAAGTAATCTATGCAAAGGTAGACTTTTTAATTTAAATGTTAGTAACATTTACGCCAAATTTCACTTCAAAATAATCGTTAGTGTTTAGTATAAGTTTGTCTTTCTGAAGTACATAAAGTGAATTCGGCGATTTTTACGATGAGTGAAATTATTTAACAAAGAAGTTCCATTAAATTTTGTGTGCGGTATCAAATTTCTGGTTTCGAACCGTTCAGAATGTTGGAAAAGGTTTTTGATTTGTACAAATTATTAAAAGGTTGTCGAGAACGCGTTGACGAAGAACCATGTCGAGGACGGCCATCATCATCAAATGACGATGAACACGACATAAAATAGAGGAATTGGTGCTTCAGAATCGACGATTAGCAGTCAGAGATCTTACTGGTATCATTGGAATATGAAAAGGATCAGTAAAAAAGATGATTTAGGCCTAATAAATGTATAAAATTACTAAATAAAAGATCCATCGGCAGAATATCACGGCAAAGGTGAAACGAAGAGGAAAAATCCACGTCCAAGCAGGTTTTCTTCGATGATCGAGGTGTGGTAACCACCGAATTTTTTTCAACCGGTCAAGTTGTCTACAAATAATACTATTTGAGTGTTCTGCGGCGTTTGCGGGAAACTATTCGTAAAAAGAGACTGGAATTATGGGCCGACAACTCTTAGTTTTTGCACCACGATAATGCACCGTCGAATACTGCATTGATTCTTCGTAATCACCGTATTCGGCACATTTAGCTCCGTGTGAGTTCTGGTTATTCAGCAAACTCAAACGACCGCTCCGGGGGAACCGTTTTGAGCCAATTGAAGACATTAGAGGAGAATTGCTACGTGCAATTTACTTTAACAACTGTTTCGAGGATTGGAAAACTTTTTGGCATATGAGTATTGAGGGGACGGCATAGTTTGTGAAGAATAAATTAAGAATTTTAAAATTATTTTGTAAATTATAAATATTTTGTTTGTTGAATAAATGGGAAGATATAAATTTCAAATAGAAGTCAAATATATTTTGATAAAAGTATTCAAAGCTTCTTCATTTAAATTAATTAATATTTTTGTTAATAGGATAATGCTTGCACTGTGGAATATCGTATACGTATATTAATTCTTACCTTGACAATATTTTAGATACACATCCATGACTAACTCGCAATTGCCGTGATATGTCACATGGACGGACGCCATTATGTGCTAATTCAACGATGCGTTGACGTACCACATCGGGAAGTGGACGACCATTGACAAAAACGCCACCCAGTTGATTTACACCACCGTGACCTTTAGAAATTAACGTGAAATAATTGTTTTTAAAGTTTCCATTAATTATTGTTCTAAATTTTTTTTTTTTTTTTTTTTTTGTAAATGTTAGCAAACGAGCAATGGGTAAGAGCATATAAAGGCAGATTTACCATACGGTATATTATCTAATTTGTGCTAATCCTTTAATTAATTATATATTGAGGTTTTTGCAATTCGGCTGGCTCTGTTCACTATTTAAGTAGTAATAATGTTCAAAAAAAAAAGGAAATGAAATACTATAAATAAGATACATGAGCAAAGTTATAATATACAGCATGATTTTAATCTATATGCGTTTACAAATTATTGTATCAAAGTAAATATGAAATAAACAAGTAAGGAAGAGCTAAGTTCGAGTGCAACTGAATGTTTAATACTCTTGCAACTTGCAAGAATCAAAATTCCAAAGTTAGTTCGTAAGTTCCAAAATTTTTATATTAGGTATATGGGGGCTAAGGGAAGTATTGTTCCGATTCAACCCATATTTGACGTACAGACATACCATTATAAGAGAAGCATTATTCCTTAATTTCAGTTATCTCTGTCACATATTGACCCATAATTCCTATCTATAACTTTGGGGGTATATTCTTAGACTATAATATACTAGCGATTTAAGCAAAAAACAAATTTCGACGAATCAAACGGAATTTAAAATTGTGTTAATTTCGTTCATTTTCACATGTGACATAAAAATGTAAGAAATACGGCACGTACTAAATTTTGTCGAAATCGGTTTGAACGGATCCCGAGATATGGGATACCAAAAATTGGGTGGTCTAATCCAGCGTTCAATTTTCACACACTCCTATAAACCTCTCTGATACCATCTTTGTGGTAAAATTTAATGCCTCTGGAGTATTTAATTATTGATTTACCGCCTTTTTAATAGCTTTTAACACTTTTTAAGCACCGTTATATGGTTAGTCAGCAGAGTTATCCTCCGATTTCATTAATTTCACACCGTCGGTAGAAGTTCTTATAAAACTTGTACTCAGTAAATATGGTTGCTGTAGCTTAAGTGGTTTAAAAGATATGGACATTAAACTTGTTAGAGGGCGGGGCTACGCCCACTTTAAAAGAACATCCCTTATTACTGAGATGCCTTGTACCAAATTATAGCTTTATATTTTAACTTAGTGCTTAGTTATGGCACTGTATATGTTTTCGGTTAATGCCGATTTGTGGGCGTGGCAGTGGTCCGATCTCGGACATCTATGAACTAGAAATTTTTCTTGCACTAATAAACCCACATACTCAGTTTCAGCGAGGTTTCTAAATTTTTACTCAAATTAGAGCATGTGCAGACAGACAGACGGACCGGATTTCAACTTTTCCCGTAATCCGGGTCATGTATATATATATATATATATATATCCCTATATCTATCTCGATTAGTTTTTGGTGATACGTACTTCCGTTAAGTGAAGTGAAAGTTTTATGAAGCTGCTATAAAAGTGAAACTTTTTTCAGAATGCACAGGGAGGATGGAGTGTGTCGAAGTTCACGCAAATGAGGAAATTTCTCTGATCGCCATTCACTTGGAAGAGGCCAGAAACGATTCCTTTACATATGGCTCAAGCAGTTCCCGACTTCCTGTCTTTGACCAAGTATCCTCTGGGTAGCCTAAGAACATCCGTTAGACATAATGTGAGAAGGCGAAACATCCCCTCCGCAGGGTTGTGTGCGAGGTTCAGGCCCGCCACGTAAAAAACACATCCAATAAAAAGGAACAACAAGCATCGGATGAGTGACCACCCTTTTGATGACGACCATGGTAAACGAAATAAGGATTACGATTTAAGGGCACGCTCCTGAAATGTCCGGTCCCTTAATTGGAAAGGTGCCGCTATCCAGCTGGTTGATGTCCTCGTCAGAGTGAAGGCTGACATCTCCGCCGTCCAAGAAATGCGATGGCCGAGACAAGCACTGATGCTAATAGGTCCTTGTGGCATTTGCTACAGTGGCCATATAAATGAGCGCAAGTTCGGTGAGCGATTCGTAGTGGGAGACAGACACCGCCGCAGAGTACCGTCATTCATTCCGGTGGATGAACGTCTAGCCACAATCCCCATCAAAGTGAGGTTCTTCAACATATCGCTGATTTACGCCTACTCCCCAACGGAAAAGGCGATGTGACGAAAGATACCTTCTTTGAGCGCTTGGACTGATTCTATGAGACCTGCCCCCGCCACAATGTGATAATCGTGCTTGGCGACTTTAACGCCAAGGAGTGCAAGGAAAGTATCTTTAGCTCAACAGTCGAGGGCGCAATGCGTTAGTATGAAGAGCTTGACAAAGTGGCCAACAAGATCGGAGCATAAACTTGTTTAATCCCCAGAGGTGATCTAGTGACTGATGCTCAGAGCATACTAAAATTATGGAGGGAATACTTCTCCAGCCTGCTGAATGGCAGTGAATGTACAACACTAAGGGATGGCGAACCCAATTCCCCAATCGAAAACGATGGAGCAGACGTTCCATTACCCCACCATGAAGAAGTTCGAATAGCAACTACGACTCTGAAGAACAACAAAGCGGCGGGGCCGATGTTCAAATACGACTGCGAAGAACTGATGGGAGCGCGCATAAGCTTCTTTGTAGAATATGGTCGCACGAAAGCATACCCAATGATTGGAATTTAAGTATGCTCTGCCCAATCCACAAAAGGGGAGACCCCACAATTTGCGGGTCAATATCGCGTCTATCGAGCGTATTGTGTGAAAGATTAAAGCCTGACGGTAGGCTTTGGACCCTATCAGTGTGGCTTTAGACCTGGCAAATCAACAACCGACCATATATTCATCGTGCACCAAGTTTGGAAAGAACCCGTGAAAATAGAATCGACACACACCACTTCATCGTCGATTTCAAAGCTGCCTTCTACAGCACGAAAAGGGCTGACTTTATACCGCGATGTCTAAATGTGGTATCCCCGCAAAATTTATACGGCTGTGTAAGCTGACGTTGAGCAACACCAAAAGCTACGTCAGGATCGGGAAGGACCTCTCCGAGCCGTTCGATACCAAACGAGATTTCAGGCAAGGCGACTCCCTATTGTGCGACTTCTTCAATGTACTGCTGGAGAAAATAATTTGATCTGCAGAATTTAATCGAGCAAGTATAATCTTTTATAAGAGTGTACAGCTGCTGGCGTATGCCGATGATATTGATATCCATCGGCCTCCACACCCGCGCCGTTAGTTCTGCTTTCTCCAGACTGGACAAGGAAGCAAAGCAAATGGACCTGGCAGTGAATGAGGGCAAGACGAAATATTTCCTGTTATCAAACAAACAGTCGTTCCAACGGAGGATAACTCATGTCAATGGGTGCTACTTCGGAGTAGGCAATTGAGAAGTAAAGTCCTCTCTCGTGGAACGAAACCCAAACTCTATAAATCACTCATAATCAATATCTGATGAGTCGAAATTGCGAGTTTTCGAGAGAAAGGTTCTGCGAAGGATTTATCGCCTTTATCGCGTTGGCGATGGGGAATAGCATTCGATGGAACGATGAGCTGTATAAGATATACGATGACATTGACATTCGACCCAGTACCCGCCGGGGTAGCAGAGGAAGATTAAGACCTCCACTCCGTTGGAATGACCAGGTGGAGAAGGATCTGGCTTCGCTTGGAATCTCCAAACTTCGCCACGTAGCCAAAAGAAGAAACGACTGGCTCGCTCTTGTTGGCGGTGTCTACGCCAGTAAAGAAGAAAAATGTCTGCGAATTTTTGTTTAAATCATATGCTGTAAAGGGCTAAATAGAACTATATTAAATCAACAATATATTTAAGGTATTTAATTAATGCTGCATTGGTTATAACCGCTTCGAAAATTTATCTTTATTTGTAAAAAGTAAATCACAATAAATGCTATTGATATCTATATATCTATAAGAGACATGCAGAGTTCTCTGAGCCTGCGTTTATAATGCGGAAAAAATTATTTACGACATCAAATTAGAAACATCAAAAGTAACAGTATTTCTCTACTATTTAATGGATGTTATTATCCATATAAACCCTCTTCAATCACTCTATCTATTTAAAAAAAACCGTATCAAAATGCAGTGCGTATTTTTAAAGATTAAAGCATACAAAAGTATATAAGGAAGAAAAATCTACTATCTTTTAAGTATACCGTGTATTAAAGAGAAATTCGTGTTAGTTACACTATTTATAACTCAAGGACGGCTGAACCGATTCTCTGAAAATTGTTCAAAAACAAAATTTTTTTTTCGTTTGCTCGGAGAAATAATAATAATTATCATATAGAAATATTGTATATCGCGCTTCCAACTACTTGCAAAAATATCTTGTTCCTTTGGTTTTATAGGAAATTAATTGCTCTACAAAAAAAGGTCTCTACGCTCTTTTCGTAAACCTAACCGTTAAAAAGATATTAGCGCTTGAAATTTGATTATTTTTGGGAAAATTTTTTATTTCTTATGAATTTTATAAGTCACTGAAAAAGAATCATTATGAATGATGAAACTTATGGGTTTTTGGAGAGGCTTTCTTTTGGAGGTTTCTAGGAACATATTTTTCAGACTACCAAATGAAAAAACGAAGGATGGAGTCATGTGTAGAAGTTCACGCAAGTGAGGAAAGTTCTCTGATCGTCATTTACTTGGGAGTGGCCAGAAACGATTCTTTTTCATATGACTCAAGCAGCTCACGACTTCCGGTCCTTGACCAAGTATCCTCTGGGTAGCCTAAGAACATCCCTTTGAAGGCGAGCTAAAGTGAGAAGGCGAAACATTCCCTGCATAGGGTTGTGCGCTGGGTTTGGGACCCGCCACGTAAAAAAAAACCAACTCAATGAAAACGCAACAACAGCCTTGAGTGAGAGACCCTACTTCTGATGACAACCATGGAAAACGAATAAGGACTACGAATTGAAGGCATGCACCTGGAATGTCCGGTCCCTTAATTGGGAAGGTGCCGCTGCCCAGTTGGTTGATGTCCTCGTAAAA